CTAACTTGACGGTCTAAATAAAATTAAAATAAATTCCACAAGTACAAAAAAGAAGTCTTTTAGAATGTTTTGTATTAAATTATCATATTATATCTTGAGAATTAATGCTATTACCAACATTTAAATAAATAGCCGATAAAAGGGTTTTGTTCATGTCTACAGTTGTATACTCATCAGCACCTAAATTTCAGATACAAAACTTTTTTAGTTTTTGACGATATAATACCTAATTTCTATATACATGTACTTGAGAGATTCTTCAGAAAGTTTCTCTGGGGTCTTGACTACAATGACTTCCCAAACATTTTGTGTCGATCTGTGGTGTTGTTTTGAAGTTTAGAGAAATGTTAATACCATTTTGCTATTGTGTGATTTTTTTGAAAGTGGTAAGGATTAAATTATTTATTCTAAACTTTTTATAATTTTGACTTTGTATCAAATTCCACGTCATTTAGGATGATAGTGACCTTTGAGTGAAGGGCCAAAGTAAAAGGTCATTTTTTGAAAAAGTAATATCTCTTTATGCTTTATGTAGCAAATTGAGATATTCACCAAAAGATGAAACTAGAAACATGTCCTAAATTTTTAATTCTGATCCTTTGGTCGCTGTCAAGGTAAAAGGTCAATGTCATTTGGGTAAACCGTCAATATCAGCCATTCGTCTAACTTACAATGATCTCAAAATTGACCTTGAGCGAATTTTCAAGGTCAAAGGTCGAATATCCTATTGCAGCCAGCCCTATGTTTCTATGAGAAGGTAGGCTTTGATGATGAAAGTAGATACGGTTTATCGTACAAGCATTCGAATAGGGGTTAGAGTTGGGAGTCACGAAAGAAAGTTCTGAAATAGTTTTACAATAGCACATTGTTTGATGTAAAAGTATTACAGAACTAGCTTTCGTGACTCCCAACTATGACCCCTTTTGGAGTTGCAATGATTTATAATATAATGTTAAAAGACAAAAGAGACATAGAAAAGCAGATTTCTCTAATTTGGAATGACCTCTTCCTGAATATCAAGGTCAAAGATTGAAGCCTTCATAGCAGTTAATCCCATAACTCTACGATTCATCTTTTAAATTTAAATTTAACATAAACAGCAAACACTTTTCTTATTAATACAGTCGCTCGCGTGGGGCAGTGGTTAGAGCGTCTGCTCTAGAGTCGCGGAGTAAGGAGTTGATCCTAACGTCGCAGGTTCGAATCCCACTGCGGAAGGTGGAGACCGGTCCTTCGGATGATACCGTATAAACCGAGGTCCCATGTCGCAGTAGGTGCTGGCACGAAAAAAATCCCTCACTGCTCAATGGCCCTAAGTGCCGAGTAAAGGTCAAAATCTGTAGCCCTCCGCCGGCAATATGAGTGAAAAATTCTCGAGAGGGACGTTAAACAACAAACAATCAATCTTGTTAATACAGTGTGTAGCCTTCCATCTTCCAAGATAATGTCAATTGTTGCTTCAGTGCCTTGTGACGGTGGAATCGTGGAGTGGAATACACTGCCATCTCTTATTCCACTTCTATTCCCAATTCAGGATCTTTGTCATCACATGCAAGCGCAGGGTGGATCTTGGGTGCATAGTGACTGTGCAGTAACAAATAAACTACTTCATTCAATTGCAAAGCAAAAAATGTGGAAGAAGGTCTACATTCTTTATGATGATACATTAAGTAGGTATATCCATCCATCATCCATCCATCCATTTTGTCTGTATTTTTATGTCTGTTTGACCACAACATTTCTTAAACTCTTTAAACGGGAATTCAGTGAAAAAAGGTTGAAAGCATGCTTTCTCTGCCCCCCCCCCCTCCCCCCAAATCGATTAAACTAGAATTCTTGAAATCTTTCAGCAGGGAAATTATACAATGAAAATTAAAAAAAAAACAACAAATACTGGGATATACAATATAATGACATAATAAATTATTTTTTCTGCAAATAAGAACAAGAATACAAGAGCAATTAAGTTGTACTTTATTTTACTTTCTCACCACTCTCTTGAAACCATGACCTGTGGAGGGTTTTCAAACTTTTATTCAGAGGGGAAAAAATCTTGATAATGGTATGAGCATTTATTTCGATAAACAAAGTATGTCGTATTTTCAGAACATCAATATTTATCCATGGTTCATGTTCTTCTTTTTTCAGTAACACGCTACGGTGTGAAAAGACGATATACAGACCTATGCATAAAAATGTTGATTTTTTTCAGGTTCTTGTTGTTTGCAAGATCTTATAGAGCGCCTTAGTTTTGATTCAGTTACATCACAATTAATCCATGTGGATATAGATAAGAGCGTTAGACGCGTACTGCAGCACATCAGCAATACAAGCTCTAGGAACATTTTCTACGCTGTCGCCGAGGAGCACAAGATAAAAACACTCTTACAAGAGGTACCTAGTATGCATGATTGCATATATTTGAACTGTCTACAATTGACGGTCGTGTGGATCTGTGTTATGGATGTACCGACCTTCGTAGGAAGTAGTTTTTTTGTTAGATTGGTAAATAGGGAGTATTATTTGTCTTTTCGACAAAGTTTACAAAGTAAAAGAAAAAATAAAGGATACATTAGATTCTGAGTTAAATGTTATTTGTGCTATTCAACTTCAATTGATCTGGTTAAAATCCACACCTTTTATTTCTTACAACTATTCATGGACTTTTGCTTCCCAACTTTTAAATCGCCAAATGCCAAAAATGTCAACAGTATCTGGATATCGAACATCTAAAATATACCCCCCCCCCCTACGTTTTCATGTTCTCCCTACAACTATTGTCCTGCTGGACACGTCATTACTGGTGACGTACAGTAAATATTGAGGATCCTAAATCGCTTATTTTACAAGGGCCAAAATTTAGGGAACCCCGGTCTTTCAAGTGGCGAAAGAATTTCATAAATATTATGAATTCTGTCAAAGCTTAAGCCAGGCGATTGGGCAAACATGAAAAAAGACACTTTGTCAGATTGGATTAAAAGTATCAGATGGATGTAGAAATTTCGTATTAAACGCCTGAGGAGCAATAGGAATTCCATCTCCCCTTATGTTTTCAGTACGGAAGCCGGTAGGTGCCAGGTAGAAAAATATTTTATCTGGCGGCCGCCACTTAAATAACTGGCGCCAAATAATTTTCTGGCGGCCGCCAGATAACTTATTTATCTGGCAGCCGTCAGAAAATTATATGGCGGCCGCCAGATAACTTTCTGACGGCTGCCAGATAAGTTATCTGGTGGTCGCCAGATCTTTTTATATGGCGGCCGCCAGTTATTTATGTAGCGGCCACCAGATAATAATTTGGCGGCCGCCATATAATATATTTTTTCTACCTGGCACCAACCGGCTTCCGTACTTCAGTAATTCAGAAGTGAAAAAAAGAATTAGGTAGCATACACAATCAATATGTATCTGTCCAACTTGTCTTTGTTTGTAAGGCTCAATATTATACTTGTATTTTAGAGGAACTTGGATTTAATTCTACAAGTGATAATCCATATAATACTCATAGATCCCTTTCTGAGAAGGAAGTTCTTCAAAATCATATGTCAGTTTTAAATACTTTTAATATTCCTAAATATCAAATTGAATTTGAATTACCAGACCTCTATTGGATTCCATAAGTACATAAAAATCCATACAAAGATACATAGCGGGTTTTAAAAATGTTCTACAAAGTCTCTCTCTTTACTTCTCACCAAAACATTAACAGCAGTGAAGGAAAAACTTTAGGAATACTGTACAACAACACATTTTGGAAGTGGTGTTAATCAGAGGTGGATACTTAAAAAGTCCAAGGACATTTTGCAATAGAAAATTTGAAATCACAAAATTTTACCAAAATCGAAACGCATGTCTGCGCTTTATATAACCATTCCCCACGATAAATTAATGACCAGGCATCATAGACATGACATCATAGACAACTGCTTTTACAATAAAAATGGAACTCGTAAATTTATATATCTTGTCATTGGACATCTGTAAAATATTTGAAAACATTCTGATTCTACACACGTACTCCGAAGTTGATGTTAAAAATACGCTTGCCTTTCTGATTGACAATATTTTTGTAGAGTTTGAAGATCAGGCCTTCAAACAAACTCTTGGGATTTCCATGGGTAAAAATTGCACCCTGTTATTAGCAAACCTGTTTTTGAATTCATATGAAGCAGAATTTATTCAAAAATAAAGAAGAAGTCTTGCTGTTGCCTTCAATTTGACATTAAGATATATCGACGAATTAGCAATATTCATTTTCATTCTAACATTGATTTAATATATCTCTTTGAACTAGAAAAAAGACTCCACAGAGTCTGACACATTTGTTTCCGTATTTGGATATTTTATTAGAGAAAGACATTAATGTCAAACTAACAACTAAACTTTATGATAAACGTGGTGACTTCCCTTATTTATGCAGCAATGTACAAGAATCGCCAGCGTATGCGTTGTCTCTTAGTTAATCCGATACGCAAGAGCATGTTCTAAGTACGAACAATTTTTATAACGAGGCAAGCTGTTGACAAATAAGTTGATTATACAGAGATATACAGAGATATCAACAGTCTAATTTAAAGTCAACATTGGCAAATTATTTGGTCGATACAATGGCCTTGTTAACAAATATAAATAAATTTCATACAAATTGTTAGACTTATTTTCACACTGAATTTTCTACGGATTTTTCTGATTACCCGTTCATGACATGGAACACACAGCGGATGTGACCGGTCTTCATAGCTACTTATATGCAAGATTCTGCTGAATATTAATTTAAGTTCTGAAAATCAATATACTGAGCTAAAACATTTAAAATAGAACTATGATAAATAATTTATTGACTGACTTGTATGTGTTGTTTCTTATAATTACGATTTAATAGACCTTATATTTACAATGTTTCTTTCAGATAGCCCCATCGGAAAAGTTAATATTCAATAATTACTGGATTATAAGCATCAATGGCAATTATTTGCACGCCTTTAAAGATTCACTGATGGTTGATCTTTATGAAAAATATATTCTGTTTCTAATGACGTCATCAAAATCAACGTTCAATAGTGAATACGTAAGTAGTTAATGTAAAAGAGAGTTTCCTGTAAAGCTTTCTAACATGGAAATATTAAGATTGATTAAAGCTATGATGATATAAAAGAAATATTTGAATTTTCCTGGCATAATTGCACCTCTGTTTCAGTTTGAAAGTTCTAATCTGTCCCCAGCTATAGAAGAATTCAAAGAAGAAGTCAAAGTTCAATATAGGACAAATTTCACGATAGAAGTTAAAGATGAATTTAATTGCAACGAAAACAATTCAACAACGGACATATTTTTCCTAACAGCATTGCAGGTATTTTAGTATAAGTGTATAATTGAAGGTATTTTCTAGGTCAAATTATACCTACAAACGAAATGAACAGGACAAAATGATGTAAATTAAAATTATTTTGATATCACGTGCTATTGGAGTTAAAAGAATTTTCTATTTTCTCCCAAGAAAATCTGCCCGTAAGATTTTAGAAACGCTTTCAGCAAAATTTATTGAAATTTGGGAAAGTGTTCCTGGCTTCAGATCTATAAATCGTAGATGAGATCTCTATTGACCTCAGTCTCACTTTTTCAAAATAAATTCCTTTTTCTGCTAATGAGACTGCGATCAAAAAATGACCTCATCTAAGTTTTGTGGTCCCGAACATAGGCACTTGTTTCGTATATAGGGCATTTCTACTTATTTTTACCACAAGGTACCTAACTCAATTTCAGACACCCCCACTTCAAGCCAGTATTTTATCAATTTATCAATCATTAACCTACTTCAATAAGGCATAGTTCAGAATGAAATCGGAAGTCTCTGTTTTTATCGTACACTATACCAATAACCGGAAGTTCTTGTATCCCGTCTATAGTCTTAATATGTCATGAATTTATGTTTGAGGTATAACTGAATGGTTTACATTAAAGAGGATAGATCAAGGACGTCTGGAACAATATATCTGTAAAGAAAAATGTCTCTAGAAGCGAACGGTGTCTTATTGAAGTAGGTTAATGATTGATAAAATACTGGCTTGAAGTGGGGGTGCCTGAAATTGAGTTAGGTACCTTGTGGTAAAAATACGTAGGGGCGCCCTGAATATGAGAAAAGTACCTGTGGTCCCGAAGCCTTACTTACTTATCCTCTCCGTGCCCCGGAGGACGCATGAGGCCGTTCAACAAAGAACGCCACTTACGGCGGTCCCTGGCAACAACCTGCCCCTCCTTCCAGCTGCTCAAACCTAGTTATTCCCTTTCTCTCTCAACGGAGCGTTTCCAGGTGTCCTTTGGCCGTCTTCATCTTCTCTTTCCCTCAGTGACCCATGTGAGAGCTGTTCTTATGTGTGAGCTGGCTTCCCTTCGGAGGATGTGGCCTATCCATCTCCAACTCCTTCCTTTGATCGTCCTTGATAGAGGTATGGATCTTGTTCTGTCACAGTTGTTGATTAGATATCTTTTCAGGCCAATGTATTGTTAAGATCCTAATAAGGCATTTCCGATGGAATGTGTCCAGCTTTTCGTCGTCTTTCTCGGTGGTTCTCCATAGTCCAGAACAATACAACAACACAGATAAAACATTTGTGTTGAAGATCTTAAGTTTGGTCTTTGTGCTGTATTGTGCTGACTTCCATACTTTGGTAAAGTATGCAAAAGCAGTCCTGGCTAAGCCTAGCCTTCTCCCTATGTCTGCCTCAGTTCCTCCCGTCTTGTCCATTGTGGCACCAGGAAGAGAAATATTTCAACCTCTTCTACTTCCTTATCATTTAACCTGATAGCATAATTCTTCTTTCCATTCATTCTCATGCTTTTTGTCTTGTCTACATTAATTTTTAAGCCCGTATATTCAGCGACGTCATGCAATCTCCTGGTCTTTTCTTGCATGTCGCTGTGTTTGCTGGAAATAAGTGCAAGGTAGTCTGCATAATCCAGGTCTTCTAAGGTGGACAAAAATTTCCAACGTATATCTCTCTTCTTAATGTTGGTATTTCTCATTATCCAGTCTACCACAATGATGAACAGGAACCCAGACATAACGCATCCTTGTCTCACTCCTGTCTGTACTTTGAACCAGTCTGTTTTTCTTCCATTCTGTATGACACAACTGGAACTTCCGTCATAAATTTTCCTGATGATGTCCACATATACTTCAGGAATCCCATACTGCCTTAGTATGTCCCACAGTTTCTCTCTTATTATGCTGAAGCCTAGGGACGATTAAATTAGTATTTTGTCACAAACAGTGTAAAACCTGTGAAAAATCTGCATTAAGATATTCCTCTACAATCCAAAAAAAATTTATGCTACATTTTTTATAACCTGAGTTTTTTTCCTTTTAAAAAGAAAGAGGAAAGGATGCTTTTCATGTACATTGTAGTGTAGAAAATCTACATTCAATGTATTCTTTACTCTATTCTAATTCAATATGTATCTCTCTCAAAAAACATATTCGTAATCTTTGAATTGTACTTCATCATTTGCAAGCAACCTTTTATATATATTTTAATCTTCATCTAGAATTCGTTGAAGCAAATAAAATTATCATTCTCGAGCGTAACAGACGTTTACAGCACGAACGGAAACAACAGAAGCCTAGATAAAGTGGCAGAGTATAGTGAGAATTTGAAAATTTATGATCAACGACTTTTTAAAAATATTTTCAAAGATTTTGGAAACCAGAGTCTCAGTGTGGCTTTTGTTGCAGTACGTACCATACATAAAACAAATATCAAATGAATATTAAAGGAATACGCAGGATGTTAAATTATTATATATCTTATCTTTTTATTTTAAATTTCTGCTTTAAAATTAAATGGTTGATAATCTTTTGTCACCACGTCCAAAAGGAAATAGCAAAGTATAGGTTAATAAACGTTAAGTTATACACCAATTTTGGCGAAAAATCCTTTCAACAATACCCTAAAAGCTTTTTATAAAACCTCATTGCAGGCTAACCCTTACATAAAAAAATCTATAGATGCTGAGTCGGGGAAAGTGGTGTATTCTGGATTTTGCTATGACATTTTAGAGGATCTTGCAAAAGCTCTTAACTTTCGGTTGGTAAACAGAAGACATTTTGAGATTATTTTATATAATTATAAATAATACACTTGTTTCATATACAGGGTACCCCTATAAATACGAGTATTTTCTCCTTCTTTAACTTTTATAGAAGTAAACTTCAGATAAGGTAATTACTTAAGATGAAATTTATTGACATTCTTTATATAACTTTATATTATCAAAAATCACCTTCTTTATTTCAAAAAGTTACCATATTAAGGATTCAGTTGACGGCTTATATGGAAATCCAACAGACGATTTCTCTAATGCAACAGGAATGGTTGGAATGGTTATGCGAGGGGTATGTTTTAAAATCCTTCTTATGCACTTATATATTCAAAATCTAAACATTGATTTCTCTAATGCAACAGGGATGATTGGAATGGTCATTCGAGTGGTATGTTTTAAAATCTAATATTGTACTTATTTTATGATGAAAAAAAACCAAACAATTTTTGACTCTTTTTCACTGCTTCCTAAGGAGGCTGACATAGCTATAGGACCTTTCACTATAACAGCAGCTCGGCTCAAAGTTGTTGATTTCTTGACGCCATTCCAGGAGGAAGGAATAGGTTTTATGATGAGGAAAATTGACAGTCCTCCTCTGGAACAAATGTTTCATGTTTTCCGTCCTTTTAGTCTTGTATGCTGGGTTGCCGTGGTAGTTTCCATTGTGCTGACAGGCATAATTCTTTCAATCATTGCCAAGCTGAGTCCATATGCTGAACACAAAGAGGTATCTCTTTCTCGAAATTTGTGGATGGCATTAAGCTCAATTTTAGGGCAAGGTAAATATTTCATAGACTGTTTATTAATATTACTCGATGGACTCCGATTATACAGATACATTGCATATAGTCCATTTCAAGAACTTACATGTCGCTGTATTTTAAAATAAATTTCAATATAGGATAACACTGAAATGCACATTTATCAATTTAAGATACTAGTTCTGTGTCTCTTGAATATACATTCTCTGTCCGTTTCAGAGGATGGTCCTCGACCCAGATTCCTTCAGGGATATATAATATTAGGATTTTGGTGGATATTTATTACGCTGATCATGGCTTTGTACGCCTCTTCCTTGGCGGCATTTTTAACAGTTTCACTTTCCAATGCACCTTTAAAGAATTTAGAGGAGTTGACTTCACAGACACATTATAAACCCCTTGTTTTGCAAGGAACAAACCATTTTCATTTGTTCAAGGTGAGTGTAAATGTTGTTGCTGAGAGACACTATTTTTGAAATTAAACTTAACGGAAACTGTTTTTATTTCAGACTGCAAAAGGAGGGCTTCATAAGAGAATTTGGGAGATGATGTCTGACATGCCAAAGATTACAACTATAGATGAAGCCTTTACTTTGGTTAAAACAGGAAAATATGCTTTTCTATCTGACTCATCTGAACTCCGATTTGAGCTTCGGGATAAATGTGACGAATTGGAAATTGCCCAAGAATCATTTTTATTGACACAGCTATCTTTCGTCGTCCGCAAATATTTTCCAATTAAAGATGCCTTCGACAATCAGTAATATTTTCAAATTTTTAAAGTACATGTACTAGTATGTTAAAGGAAACAGAATATTATTCCTTTGACAATCAGAAAAAGTCATTTATTAAAAGAATGATCTTTAATTTTTAAAGTTTCTAAAACATTTATATATTTTTTTTATATATATTTATGATTAAAATTCCTTTTATTTCTGTGATTTTTTTGTCTTTCCCACAAAACAATATATATACATTTGCGGTTTCTCTCTATTATATGAACATACAGAGAGCAAATATCTTCAACCTGTATAGAGTTTTTCGGAGGTCATAGATCATTACGTGACCTAATCACACAGCGCAGTAATATCTACATAAAAAGACTTTACTTATGCTTTTCATGTATAAAAATGTACAAAATACGCAGGTAAAATAATAATCATTTTATTTACAGTGTAAACGAGTATTTAATACAGTTCTTTATCGATTTTACATAGAGAATAGAAAAGTACGTGTCATAAGTTTCATGTCTGAGCTCCATAGTCTCAATGTTTACCCTTATTTTTCTTGTAGACCTCTGAATGCTATAATGTTTTAAATCTGTTGGAAAATTACAATGTAATGCAATCACGCCACAAACAGATGAAAACACTTCGGAGGTTCGGTAGGTACATGTACCTGCCCATCATCGAGAGTGTTGTCTTAACAATGTAAGCTGTCGCCAGTGTCTCCGTGTCAACATCATAATAATTATGCCTTACTGAAATCGTAGATTTTATGTTTCTGATCAAATTTATTACTTGATTTCAAGTTTACTGGTCCGGACAAGTGTCTCTATCCATCCTATTCCGACCGAAATCCTCCAAGTCTTCATTATCAGATTTCGGACGTGTTTCTGGTGTTTTTTAACATCGAATATGGGTTCTCAGCAATACAAAAATTCCGTGACACCAATATGCTCACTATAATTGATCACAAGTAGTCTTTCACAGAATATTCCCTTCAAAACAGAATCCTTTGCCAGATGAATTTGAAGCGTAACCGCTTTTCAAGCCGTGCATAACTGGTCAAAATCTACGATGAAGAGTTTGTGCAATATTTATATTCGGTTATATTCGATTTTCCGTCTCAAATGTATATATTATTACGTAATAAATAAAAAGTTTAAAACTTCACTGGGAAATGAAGTGGGTCGGTATGTGATCAAATTTTCTGAGAATGGCCTTCCGCCTTCACAGAATTTGATCACTTGACCGACCCACTTCATTTCCCAATGAAGTTTTTAAACTTGTTATTTATTTCTTAAATACAATGATTGGTCTCAATAAATCATGATTTGAATATCATATCCGGAAAGTAAAGGTCATTGTGTCATTTGAGTTAAAATTTTGTTTAGCCCAAATATGAACATGTATCTTCAAAGTCACAAACGAGAATGACCTGATACTTCATACAATTTTCTTGCCTTGCTAGGTCATTGTAGAATCTTAATTTTGTCAGAAGCCTATTTATGAAGCCTGTCAAATATAATTTCAAGGCACATTTATTTCATACTTTTATTTTATACTATATGCAGTTATTTTAGTTATGTGTTGTGCTTTAATTTTACATTAACATCATATTTTAAAGGAATTGATCACAATAGCTATCGGTTGAACGTTTCCGACCCCATCTTTAAAGTCAAAATTAAGAAATACTTTACAAAATAGCAATTATTGAGCTGTGCCTTCTGAGACGCTAGCGTGCATAAAGTCATTCGTACTGGCGTTCACAAAATTGTCCGATCCATAATTTTTAAGCAACAGATGAAAACCATTTGATACTTTATATTAGATATTATTCTCGCTTAAGAAGGATCTTAATTCAATGCATTGTGACATCTCAAACGTCAATGTTGTCGCAGTAAAATGTACAAATAAAAAAAAATTGATCACAAGGACATAATAAGAAAAACACGATACTTTATTTTAAAGTATTTTCTTACTTAGTGAGAGTATAATATTAACTAGTGTCATACCTTGATATTAAATCAGAAGAAAATCAAATGACGCTGAGCTGAAACAGAAGCCTAAAAATGGGAAATGATACTTAGAACTGTTAAAGCAATTTTTTCTTCCTCAGACAAAGAGATGTTGGGAAATTTCTGTTTGAACTCTGACATATCCTTGCATCAGTATCTTTGAATAATGATGATTAAAAGATAGGCCTTTGGTGTTTCCAGTTATAAGCAATATTTTGACCAGAAGACAATTAATCTTGCTACCATATTTTCTGTTCATATACGATATACATGTATTTTTCAGCATTATGAAAATGGTAGAATCTGGAGTAATCACGAAGTTTCGACGCAAGTATTGGAACCACGCAGATTGCTATCATTCTCGAATTACCGGAGGAACTGAATTAAAGTTTGAGAATATGGGTGGAATTTTTATCGTTTATCTTGTTTTTATTTTGCTGTCCTTGGTATCCATGGTAACGGAAGTGATGTATGTTCGCCGATCATGCATGCGTAAAATAACAAATGAAAAATTAGGAATGATGGAGGATGAAAAGGCAAAAGATTATGTTGAAGATACTATCCTGTAGTTCAATTTATGATTGCATCAATATTTATTTATGTCCTTAAATTTTAATTGTCATTATTTTTATCAAGACGTATATTTTTATACTGTTCTTAAAATATAGGTAGATGGAAATTTAAATCAAAAGTTATTAATGTCATCAATTATACAACAGGTGTATAAGCTTTTAATGCCCTTATTATTGCCTTATGCCTTTTATTGACTTACAACCGTCGGAAGTACGGTTTTTGTTGTTGGTTTTTTTTTGGTATTTCTTTAATGACCATTGTAGTCTGTATTATTATTTGAGCCACTCGAAAAAAAAATAATAAAAACAAGTCAATAGCTGGCAAATGAAAAAGGATAACTGATGAATTTCATTCAGGCATTTGCAAGTTTGATTGCAAAGAGACTGTGGAACAAGGCGTGCAAAATGCCTATAGGTTTAATTCATAAAATCATAATCAATTTGAGAGTGAACTTCTTATTATTGAAAACTTTTCTGCAAAAATTTTTTTCTCGGCATGAATACTTCTATTATTAAAAAAAAATTAATGTGGTATTCCGGGTTTCGAACGCAAGCAATAAAACTTTTGAACATCATTTTTCTTTGAGACTGACACATTTACCATTACGCCACACAACTCATAACAACTTTTAAAATTGAGGGAAGACCCACTTTCATAAAAATTGTGCTATAATATGAGGAAATGATCTTTTTGCCCGCTTTAGTGTGTGTATACTATTTTATAGCCAAATAATATCAATCTTTGTGGGATTTCTGCAAATTGTAGAGATTATTCCTAAAGTATACGTTAATGTTAGATGGAATATCAAGGAAAGTTTTGTTATAATTAAGAGTTAATTTTTTCACCTTCTTATTTGTCGTATCATAGGCATTTGACTCGCCTAATTCTCGTATCCTCTTTTTCTTCAAAGAAAAAATTGTCTCCATTTTGAAAACATTAAATAATTATTGCTGTTTTGAGGTCTACACGATGATTTAGCCACCTGAGGAGTACAATATTTACCCATCTATCGTAATTCCAGCGTGGGGAAAAATCCCAGCAATTATTGTTTCATTACCTATATATGGTTTAATGATTAAACGATACAAAATTGACCATTTCTTGGTTGTTTACATGTATGTATTTTCAATTTCTTAAAAAAAAATTATGACTCCTGGCAGAAATTATTTTATTTGTTATATATACAAATGAATATACACTTTATGGCAATTTTGTAATTGTATATTGTACGTGCATGTATACACGTTTGTAAATATTGTCTGAGATTAAGTAAATTTTTCAAGAAAGTGTTTTAATTTATACACGGTGAAAAATTTACATCTAATCAGACTGCATATTCATTTTTACATAGGAGTATATTTTACTCTTGGTCAGTGGCGTATTGATTTTTTAAAGAAATTTTACCTTTCACCTTTCTTACTTTCATTCTTACGACAAAATGTGTGAAGAAGGGAGAACCTGATCCCAATTTAGTTGTATTTAAAAAAAATGCAATCAAGAATAAATTTAATATCAGCGTTTTATTTATTAAATAATGCAAGAAACAAGTAAATTCTATACATACATTGTATATAATTCTTTTTTTTAATACAAGAACGAATTACAGTATCCATCATTTCTTGGGAAAGATATGTAGTATGTATTCTGTATACATAAAATGAATAAACTGCTGTAAACTCCTTATTCGTAAGTGTTTATTTATTCATTTTTTGTAATATACATGCATATATGTATATAGCACTTATCTAATTGTGTTAAATTGATCATTGTGTGTACAGTCACTTTCATGATAAGTTCTTTTATAGCACTTAATTATCTATTGGTGTTGATCATTATATGTACAATCACTTTCATGGTAAGTTTTTACTGGTTTGTTAACTATCGTTGTAAAACCCTTCTCCTTTAAAAATTGAAGAACTTCAGCCTCATAGTCTCTTTTAAACACTTCCGGGTCACGGGCGAGGACGAAGAGTGTGGCCTTGACGTTGTCGCTGACTACAGCGTATTGGTATTTATTTTCACTTCCATATGTAGCTGGCCCAAGCTTGATCACCCAATCGAAAGCACAAATCAAAACATTGCATGAAAATAAAACTACTCAAACAAAATAATTTTCTTTTTTCAAAGTAAACTTGGGTCTTTCGAATAAGTCTGTAGTAAGATTGTGTCTGATGCACATAAAATGTGCAACAAACACGCATAATACTTACAAGGGGCGTCAAATATAACAGTCTCCAAATGAACTGAAAGTTTCCCAGGGGTGCCACTAGGAGTAGCATATCCGTGAATTACCTTCAGCGGTCCAGTGGCAGAGTTGAGGCGCTCAGAATTCAAGACCGTGATATGACCCGATCCATCGTTTGTCAGTGTGTCTGTTAAAAATCAGCAGAGAAAAAAGCATATTGCTTCATAACCAATGCATTTTATTTATAGTTTTTGTCTGAAAAAAATTAATGATACTAGTAATGGTTTTCCTCTTTAGTCAATAATTAAAACTTTAATTGTTAGTTTTATATGACATAAAAAGTACTAGTTAATAATCATGGATTTTCCTCTTTATCAATAAAAATTTAAAAACCTTAATTGTTAGTTTCATACATGTATGTCATAACACGATGATACTTTCACTTTAAAATGTAAACGGGCAAATAAATATGATGTTTTTTTTTACTTACAATCAGCAGTGACGCAGTATGCACCTCGTTCAAAAGTAGCATAAATAGACTGACTACCATACATCTGTCAAATAAGTTCGTAGTGTTCAAATTATATCATAGATAAAATAATAAAATGAATATATGCGAGAAAACATACTCATAATTATTTTTTTTCATTACATTAGTGTCTAAAAGTTTGCTTTTTTTCCTCATTAAACTATAGAATTTTTTAAGTTTCTGCAATCTTAAATGTTTTGCTCTTAACTTTGTGCTCATGAAATGACATTATACAATTTCAGTGTTCCAGGGGTGAGATCGATTTTAGTTTTTATAAGATTTTTGTTCCACTGTGCTAAAGCTTTACTTCGTAAAAATTATTTATTTCACTTTTGTATTTCAGAAAAATTTTATATATTGTAAAATAATTTTTGAATCAGTAATCGTAAAAATAAAAAAAAGCTTCATAAATTCATATACCTCATCCATTTCTTAATACAATGTAGATATTCTAAATAGATTATATAATACCGGTATTCTACCATTAAAAACCTATAATTTTTCTAAAATTGTTATAGAGAGCTGGAGGCAGCATATTATTTTCGCACTGTATGTTCAAAGATATCTGGGTTGTTAATTACTAAATGAAATTTTCAAAAATATCGTTTCAAATGTGAGAAAAGGATCTATCATTAAAAAAATGTGAAAAAGAAAATTATTTACAAAGACAGAGATTCTTTAAAAAATCCTAGACAAGAGAATTAGAGGTATTTTTTTCCGTAGCCACTTTTCATTATATTAACAAACCTGGAACCATCTTCCTAAATATTTTTGAACATCAAGCGCTGGTACAGGTTGGACGGCGGATCCAAGAAAAGTATCAATGAGAAAAGCCGATGTTAAATTCACAGCAAAAAGGCATACACAAATTATGTTTCTGATCATTTTGAACTTCTTGCTCTCTGCAATTACGATATACAGTGACCTTCCCATTTCTGGTATTGGACTAATATATACTCTTTGGTTCTTACATAAATCATTAGTATACAGACCATATGTACTAACACGTGAAATTCCTCCTTATCTCTGAAATCATGTTGGTCATGTGCAGGGGACATTAAATACAGGAACGCTGGAGGTGGTTGGCTTGCTTACTTTGATAACACGGAGGACGTGTTTTGAAAACTTCAAATTGCTCTTTAAAATCCTTAAGTTTACACAATACTCTTGATTATGAATTATCAATAATTTAACACTATTACATGTAATACACTGAACTTCTTAGATGTCACTACAGAATTTGTGATTAATTTTCAGTTTTCGAAAAAAATTATTGAAATTTTAAAAGGTTATTCCTACTGAGCTGTAAAACAGTTTTCTTCTGAAAAAATTAAACAACAACAACAAAAATTTAATTAACAGTGACTTTGCCTCAAAACTTATTTTTGCACGTGCAGGCCTTTTAATCAAGGGATTTTTACACTTTTTCAATTGATCTAGCTTGTCAAACTGCTGATTTGTTGGAAAACATATGCATTTTATTTTATTTTATGATGGTTTGTTTCTATAAGAATTTTGACTTTAAATTTATTTCCTTTAGCTAATTTTAGTTAATTCATTTTTGGGTAATGAACTAGAAAAGGACGTAAATGGTAACTTAACAACAAAACTGATGATAAACGTATTATAAACATGATGACTTATGTAACAATACCGGTATACCCTTATCACCTGAATATGGAGTTTATGTCTTCCAGTTGATTTGATACGCAAGAGCATGATTTAGAACTATTTCTAAAACGAGGCAAGCTATTGACAAACATGTTGATGAAACAAGGATATCAATAGTCTCGGTTAAAGTAATCGTTTTTCAAGTTCTTGGGTCGATACAATGATCTTGTTAGCAAATATATTCTATCATTAAGTCGAACGCTGACTGACGCTTTTTCATGCTAATTGTTAGGCCATTATTTACACAATGAATTGTATGCGGATTTTCCCTGTTTGGTCAATCATGGAAAGGAGCACACGGTGAGTGTGACCGGTCGATAGGAATGCTTACTCCTCAATGGCAACTGATCCCACCTCTGATGTTTTAAGAGGTCCGTGTTTGCTTTGCTCCAGATTTGTATTGTTTCAATGGACTTTTGAGCTTAATTACTGTTCGTTTTCTCCATATTTCATGCAATCATTTTTGATAGCTCATGTACATAGATTTGATAATGACACGGATCAATTAAAAATAATTCCTCCATAGTAAAGAAATGTATTTAAAAAAGAATGAAAGTTTGCTACGAAAGGTAAAAATTTTTCTTAAAGTTTTATTTAAATTGCATTAAATTCTGAATTATACATATGGCTGACAAAACATCAAGTCCACTTTTATCATGTCTAGCATACCTAATTACAAAAACTCAAAGAATCTAGTTTTCAGGAACACACCCACCCCCTTTTGACACTATTGAACATTGTTATTTTTCAATTTAGAGGGCTTTTTTGGGGGGGAAGGGGGGGGGAGATCGCGTCGCTTGATATTATGACAAAATCACCTATAAACTTACTTAGAATCTCAGAATTTGTTATCGATTATCCTTTTAGTAAACCATAAAAAAATTCAACACATATGTTTGTTTTGCAAATAAAATATGTGACTATTCAGAAGTCCTGATCTATAGAGATAAAAAGAAAAAAATCGTTGAAAGTTATGAGACTATTGAAAGATATTTTTTAAATGAATAAAAAAAATGTGTTAAGCTTTTATATACTAGTTCAATTAAAATATTATGTGTAAACGTGTATTTTTTTTCAAATCCTTAGTGAATTTAGCCTTGATTTTTACCGTTTGACAGTCTCTCGTTCTCTGTACACAAACCCCTCCTTCTTTCACAAATATCTTAACAGTTTGTATGTAGCGGTAGACCACTGAATAAAAAAAAATTGAAAAAGAACATCTATGTGGCTATATTAAAAAAAAATTAAGAAGAAAGCTTCTATTGAGATATTTTAATGACAAGTTCATGATTTAAACCTACATGATTAGTAGAAAAAGTAATGCAACATCACAATGAAATACTTTAAAGGTCTCATAACATACACTGTACAATACTAGATCAAAGTTCGTTGTTTAAGAATTAAAAAACAAATTAGGCATATCAGAAAACCAATCTTTTCAAAATCCATACAAAACATACGCTAAAAGTAAACACCTCCTCAACCAACAATGTAGTCCCTCTGCTAGTTTTGTCCATTTTGCGGTCGAAGTTATAACACCTTTCATTTGCATAGGAATCAACTTCGAACGATCGTCCTTTGCAGAATGCTTTCCCGTTGTTATATAAATCCTTAATAACGACGCCTTTCAGTATGGCCGACCCACAAGCTTCAAACCAATCGTTACAGAATTCTTCACACACTGTCAGTCTTTCAAACATGTAAAATCTGTTTTGGTAGGGTGCGCATATATAACACATAAGGTAATTAGTATATCTTTGGCAAGCCGTAGAAGCACCGATTAATGGTTTCACTTTCCCAAAAGTAGCATCGATTTCCTCCTGCATACAGCATGAATTTAACTGAAACCAAGTACAATTCCTTAAATTTGACTGAGGTTTCGGTCCCCTGTTGCCGAAAAAGGAGCAAAATTGCAAATTTTGCGATGCATCAATTAACTGTAAAATTATAACGGAGAGCAGTACCAAGGGAAATACACGTCTGTCATGCGCCATGTTTTCTGTTTACTCCATTTGAACACAATGAGTTACGATCAATATTCAGCGCTGCCTCAGAATTGACTGAGAAGACTCCAGCACTATATGTAGCAAGAATTAATCAATAGCTTTAACCAAATCGATGCCTTAAATAAATTCTTTTGGAGATGAAGATCTATTGTTGAAGAAATGTACAAATTTAAAAAAAATCTCAATTCATGAAATGCACAATACAAATGAATACTTCGGTAAAAATCAGAAGGGCTTCTGAAATTGCAGCTGTTTTCTACTTAAGTTAGTGTGTAAGCCAATAACAAAGATGTTTGTATCTTTTTAAATCGTTCATTAAAACGCCGTGATCGTATAGTATTTTAATTATAATTCCTGGAATGTCATCAGAATGGACCAACTTACTCAAAATAACGTTTTTTTTTTCAGATTAGTCCAAAATATTCAGGAAGAGCTGAGAACTAGTACCCAAAGGTAAGAAAAGTCCCAAAGATAATTCCCAAAGAATAGTCAAAAGAATATTGAAAAGAACTAAAAAGAAAACAGAGGATGCCGTTTTCCGGCAAACAAGGTATTTTATACTCAAAGGGTATTCATGGTACCGGATATAAAAGTACTTTTTATTGGCTGTCGTACCATTGCCTTGCCACCTACGCTTGGTCCGTATGTCTGTCCGTTGACCAATAAACCCCAACATGGCACCACCCTCCAATCAAGGTATACCTAAATTAGTATTATTTATGGACTCAGTCCCCATCTCTGCACCACAGGAGCTCTAGCCCTAAGCTCTTTTACTTAACTACTTCAAAGTTCCCAATTTTATTGCTCTTGGTCAAGAATCCTTATAGTTACTTTGCATTTCCGTTCAAATTTTATTACTTAGTATCGATGGGCTTGATTGGTCCATTCTGATCAATTCCATTACAAAAGAATTTACAAAATTATTGTTCATTGTACCAACAACAAAATCCAATTTGTTCTAACAAGATAATTATAGTTCATGATGTTAAAGTCTCTTTTCCAATTATAAAATCACTGTATGTGGTACACTATTAATGCCCCTCCTTTTTAAATAAACTTTTTTTTATTTATTTTACTGTCACTAATAAGTTCACCATTAATAACTAAAATGATTATGATATGAGTATAATCCAAGTTTAAAATGTTCAAATAAAATGTCCGTTCTAAACCCTATAGGTTTACAAGTGACAATAGTTATATTGTTCCAGTAATCAAAATTAATAGAAATATAAAACTTACATTTTAAAATGAATTTGTCTTTTATGAAAATATAGCTAATATATCTAAATGAACTGGAAGGATGATCAATCAAATATGCACAATATTTGAAAATAAAGTTTATAACAATAAATTGGAAATATAATGCATAAATATGAAAATAATGCACTAATCAAATAATTCAAATTTAATTCTTAAAAAATCATGCAGTTGTCTCTCTTGATATTTCAAAATTTTAACAAAAGTCTTTGTATACTGTATATATACAAATATGTAGAAATAAATTATTTTTTTTTTATACCTTTGTATATTGTAAGAACATATTTTATTTCCCCCTCCAAAAATGGACATTCATATGAACACCCTTAATACAAACAGGATGAAGTTACATATTTCGACAGGACTTCTTTAGGGTAAGTTCATATATTCATGTATGTATTAGACATGTCAGTATAGGTTTGTACAGCATCATAACAGAAAACCAACTGCTCCTAAAAATAAAAGAAATATTAAATAATGAAATGTAATTAAACAAATTTCAGTCTTAAAGTTATTTTAAAAATGTCAAAAATGGCATAAAGAACAATTCAATGTTATAAATGAATCAATTATTTAATTCAATTGAAAATTCCTCGGGTTCAAATGAAGTGACCGACTGACAACTTACCAGACTGGGCACGATTTGAGAGCGGCGAGTTCTCATTTGTATCACCGTCTGCAGAACTCCGACTTCCTGTTCAGTGCGCAGTCTCTCAAAGACGGTGGCAACCGTACAAAATAGACCACTTTTCTTTGCGCCATTCCTAAAACATATACAGTTCTAAAAGTTCAAAAGTCGTTTTTTTTATTTTTAATTACAAACATTATATTTCTATGTAATACTTATATGACAAAAATCATATGGTGTAAATTGATTTGATAAAAATAGCTAAAACATCTTGATTATTAGCTTTTTCAAACATACGTACAATATGACTGTGGCAATCTGATGACTATTCTACAGAACATTTTGGATTTACTTAACAACCACACAGTAAGATCTATAATTTTTTTAAGTTTACTAAGAAACATACATGCAATGAACCACAATAACAGGGTTGTTGACTTGTTTCTGCCATGCATTTATTTCTTCTATCATCTCTAGCATTGGCTCGGGTCTTTCAGGTCTGACAGCATCTTCTGACCAAAATTTACACTGGAACTGTTTCACAATTCTCTCTTCTTGGGTCTACATAAAATACAAAAAAAAAATACATGTTGTAAATTGGCAGATCAAATTTATAGCGAACAACTGCTGATATATTAAGTTAATCAGAATCAAGCAGTGTCTGATTCAGACTTCATGAAGGAAATAAAGGAAAGAGAGGAATTTTTTTCAGTAAGGAATTGTAATAATATGTTTACATCCATGAAACCTTATATTACTGTGGGATTAAGAAATTATTATATTGTACATGTAAGTACACAATACAAACTTCTCAGGGTTACCTTGACATTTAACACCTTCATTTTGAGAACACCATAGGGAGCGTTTCCAGCCTCCCTCTCCAGAAGCTTGACGGTGATTGGTCCAAATGTGACTTCGTCTTTATCCACTGGCCAGTAGATTCCCATACTCTGATCAGACGACACAGAACAGAACGTACACTTTTAACTTGTCACAAATTCATTTAGAAAGCGATGTGAATGCCATTTACATAAAATATGAGAGGGCTATCTGGGTTTTATATTATCATTATTAAACTCCCGTGGAATCTAGACTTTGTTTACCTTATCATTCTTGAAAGAATTCATCATAACTATTGTGGACACGTCTTGTTCCAAGACAAGAAACCAGAAATCCTGGACTGTGTTGGTCAAAGGCATTTGTGTGAGAGCAAATGAATTCCTACGCTTGTAGCCCTTAATTAAAAATCAGGTTTAATTTGTTTTTACTCCAGAATATCGTAAAACAGTAAAAACAAGTGTTCATTTTATTTTTTCTATTTAATTGTATTATTTAGTTAGGTGAATAGAGTACTTTTTGGCCATGAAATGATATCTAAATTGTAGAAATGAATCAATATATATCGGATTGTAAAATTAAGTATTAATTATAGATTTTCACAGGAAATAGATTAATGAAAAGAGAATTACCGGTATTTGTATAGCATTAATGTAGTTATTGTCACCACTTGAGATAAATATTCTATAGTTGTCACCTACAATGAAATTTTGACGTAAATACACGTACAATTACAGAAAATTATACTTTCAAAGATATGTGTGTTTATCCAATAACACAGTATGTTTTTTAAACTGTAAAATTACCCTTACATTAATTTGTTGATGCTTTATTTTCATTTTGTCCACTTCGTTTGTTAATTTTTTATCGTTGATTATTTTGAGTTTCGTTTTAGTTGATAAAATTTGACTCAATGAATGAAATTGACATTTTCAGCAAATAAACATAAGAGATTTTTGCAAAAACAATTTTGTTGTCACTTATATTTTCTAAAATCGATTTTAAACGTTATGTAAGAACTATAGTATCCGGCTTTTATATATAGAACCTACTTGCAAGGACATTGGTATATCTATTTTTACATCTATTCTCCTTGAGTTTAGCTGTTTGAAAATTTCTGTCATCAAAAACTGGTGATAATTTGTTGATAAGCTGAAAAGGAAAGATTTTAATCTTATTGAAAAAAATGCACTTAAAATTGCCCTCTCATATTATCTATTAAGCACATATTCATAAAACATATACAAAAAGAAATGTAACCCCCCACCCCCAAATAATTCAAGATAATACAAATAGTTTTAAAGAGAAAAAAATTGAAAGGCATGCACCCTTGATCTTGAGATATTTATGGTTTATGACAGAAAGTTAGATCATTCTATATCTCTGAGTTCATCAATATTCTACGGCATTTAAAAAATACTAAATTATTTTTACAACCTGGAATTGTTCCCACAATCCACTCTTTTTAGTAGAGGGATTGAGTTGTTTTAAACATTTGTAATACTCAGGAAACTCGTTGGCCGTCACAACACCTTTTCCTTCTGTAAGAGCCTCAACCAGGGCATCGTGCAAGAATACGTATTGCTCCTACATGTATTAATGAGGAGAAAAGACTTAAAACAAAAATTAAAAAATCTATTTCAATTACAGATTTTATTTCATTAAGATGACCGACTTTGTGACGTTGTATATATATTTTTATTGGTAGATCAGCTTTAATTTAACTTAAATCCTTTTCATTGACACTGATTTATTACTGCTCAGTTTTCTGGTCTGTATAAAATATTTGGCATCCAATAACATAAATAACAAGAGGCACATGGGCCACAACGCTCACACGAGTCATTAGATGGTGCTGCTGTTCTTCATAAGAAGATTTATTCACTATATATTTCCTTGTAAGACTTAATTGCCTATTGTGGCCCCTCCCTTTCCCCTGAGGTCATGATTTGAACAAACCTGAATCTCCAATATCTAAGGATACTTTAATATCAATATGACTAATCATGCCTTTGAGGTTATTGAAAAGAAGATTTTTAAAGTTTGATTCCTATATATTGTACAATTTGTATTTCGTATGTAAAATTTTGATCGTCCACTGTGGCACCATCCTACCCCTAAGGGTCATGATTTGAACAAATCTGAATCTACTCTACCTGAGGATGCTTCCATATTAATATGACTTATCATGCCTTTGCTATTCTTGAGAAGATTTTGTAGTTTTTTTTCTATACATTCCTATGCAAAACGTTGATCAACCATTATTGCCCCACCACACCCCGGAAGATCATGGTATGAACACACTTGAATCTATTAATTGATGATGCTTCCACATCAATTTGACTAATCATGCCTTTGATGTTCTTGTGAAAAGATTCTTAATGATTTTTTTCCAATTCAAAAAAAAATTTATCATCCATTATGTCCCAACCCTATCCAGGAGGTAGGGGTGGAATGTGGGGTGTTGGGGGTTTATGTTTTGAATCTTCACTACATGAGGATGCTTTCATATCACTATGACTTTTCTTTGCTGTTCTTGAGAAGAAGATTATTAAAGACTGTTTCCTATATATTCCTTTGTAAAACTTTGATCGCGCATTGTTGCCCCATCCTACCCCTGGAGGGCATGATTTGAACAAAGAATCTACTTTACCTGAGAATACTTCAATATCAATATGAATAGTTCTGCCTTTGCTGTTCTTGAGAAGAAGGTTTTAAAGATTGTTTCCTTTATATTCCTACGTAAAATTTGATCGTCCATTGTTGCCCAAACCCTACCTCCGGGGTTCATGATTTGAACAATCTTGAATGTACACTATGAAATGAAGCTTTCACGTAATTTTTATTTTTTCCGGCCCGGTTGTTCATAAGAGGAAGATTTTTAAAGATGTTTTCTTATATATTCCTATGTAAAACTTTGATCGCCTATTGTGACCCCACCAATCCCCGAGGGTCATGATTTAAACAAATTTACATCTACGCTATGCAATGAAGCTTTCACATAAGTTTCGTCTTTTCTGGCCCAGTTGTTCTTGAGAAGATTTTGGAAAGTTGGCATTAGATTTTCACTAATCCCTTGAAAGGGGGCTTGGCCCTTTATTTGAACAAATTTGAACCCCTTCACCTAAAGATGCTTTGCGGCAAATTCGGTTGAAATTGGCCCAGTTGTTCTGGAGAAGATTGAAATATGAAAAGTTAACAACAATGACGACAACGACGACGACAACGCCGACAGACAACGGACAGAACTCGATCATCAAACTCACTTGAGCCTCTGGTTCAGGTGAGCTAAAAATACAGCTTTATGTGTGTAATGAAACATTAAATCATCAGCCTGTTCATTATCAAGTGGTGCATGTAGGGTACAAGTGATTTTGTCGTTTGTAACACTTGAAACAGAAAGAGATTATTTAAGTATTTGTGCTTTTCCCTCACTTAAATTTACATTTTCATCGGAAATTGTAATATAACTTTCAAGTGCAGTAAGTTGTTAAGCTCACAAATCTTCCTGTTTCTGCATCTTAATTTGCTGCATATAAATATCAAGGAAGGAACGCTGTCATCCTCTTAGACAATATGATTTAACAAATAAAAAAGATACATGTAAAAGTTTGAAAACAGCGTTTTCAAAAAACAGCACTTCTTGATGTTATTTTAAGCTCTCTTGTGGACATACTAGAAAATATACCTAGAGTTAGAAGCACATTTGTCTATCAAATGACTTTATTATATATGTTATCCGGTTATAAATTCTAAAGAATGTTCCAAATATTTTTTTCATCAAATAAGTCCGCATTTTCCCCCATATTCTTAAAATTCTAATGTAGGTCTCTGTTTAAGATTCAATAATACATTTATCAATACATGTACATCTTTCCAATTAGTGTATTGTATCAGAAGTTTTGGATTTATGTGGTGTATCTCTATCAGAAAAAATTAGCCAAGCATGCAAACTGTTTGAAAAATTGTCTTTAAAATTTTCTCCGAGTTAAACATGTTAAAAAGGAACTAAAAAAAATATATTGTAGGATTTATTTATCACTAAGATTAGTAACACATCCTATGATTTTTTTGTTTTTTAATTTGAAATGGAAGAGGTTGGAGATTCATAATTTACCACTGTCTGCACAACATGCACCCTTTGTTGACGCATCCGGGCCACACAGTTGATGACGTCAACACTTCTTTCCCGCACTCCCTGTTTTATCAGGAAGTCCAGTGCCATAAACGTCCCCGTGCGGCCAACCCCTGCACTAAAACAGTGAAAAAAAACTTAATTATATATATTTTCATTTTACCTTTTTGGTTAAAACATATAGTACTTTTTCTGACTGCTTTTGATCTTCCTAGAAATCTGGAGTAGTCGTTAGTGTGCTTATTTATCACTACCCCCAAATAAATAAATAAATATTAAATATGTAATTAAATAATTTACTTGCGACAATAAATTCAACAAAATGCCTCGATAAGTTTATATGACCTTGTTCTAAATTTAAGTGTGGCAAGAAAGATGACAAAAGATGATTTGCATTATCTGTGACTCCGTGCCTTCCTTCCGTACAAGAAATACGTAATTAGAAATTAAACACTCAAGTTAAATAGAAAAAAAACAAGTACGCGAAGAAGAGGCAACTGTCCTAAATACAAGGAAAAGAAGTGTTCTTATCCGGAGTTAGTCATACACTAATACTGAGATAACAGTGACGTGTTCAATTTGAATTGTGCATTTTTATATTCTAATGAGGGTCTGCAACTATATCACATTTAGATGAAAGACAAACCTGTACTTCTGCAGATAAAAAAGTACTCAGGATCTACAATTTGTTTCCATTTTAAGTTGCTAATCAGCGCTGACTTTTTCTGATGGTTTAGTTTGTCAAAAAAAAAAAAAAAAAAAAAAAAAAAAAAAAAAAAATACTACATGTCTTTTTGCTCATAGTGATGATTTTTATTTGACAGAATGATATAAATATAAAAAACGACAGTAATGGAAAATTCTTTAAAAAAAAATTACAAGCCTCTTTTGAGAAAAAATATAAAATGCTTCTAAATGTTTTTTCCGTTTTTTGAAAAAATCTAATTCTTATTATTCAAATTCTGAAGATTGTTTAGGCTGTATGCACTGCTGTGTGTGTGTGTTTTGTTCTGTAGCTGTAGCACTGTAAATAATTCTACAAATTACTGAACACGTACTTATTTAATAGATATGTAGCACATCTAAAGGTCATGTGCTAATTAACATTGATAATTGATATTTTTCTTTTCATTTATCAAATATAAATGAAATGATATTTTGGCGCTGATAGTAAATAATGGCACTATAAAGAGCATGTATTGTGGCTTATAATGAAACCTGCTGAAGTTAATACAATGTACATATGCTTCTTACGTTGTCTAGTCATTAATACAAAAGGAAACACTGATGATAAACAAGCTGTACAATCAAAAAGGGGTGTCTGAAAAGGACAGATATAATCTTGCGTACATGAGGAATGTATTTGTATGGAGTAATTCAGTTGCAACTTCGTGTCCAAACCAAAGTACCTGCAGTGAATTAGCATTGGTCCATCTTGTTTGGCGTCATGGCTGACAACTTTGTTCCTGAAGTCCACTATTGAAGTCACATTTTGGGGAACACCCTTATCAGGCCATGCGGTAAAATGGAACTGCGTAATGACCTTTGTGTTCCCATTCTAAGATGAAAATGTTATAAACTAGCAAAGTTCGCCATTAAAATGATGGATTTTATTAAAGCATCCCCTTCTACGAAAGAAAAAGAATTTCTGATGACAAACTTTGCATAGAATGAATCTTTTTTACATATCCAAAGAAAGGACTTCTCTATTTTAAATCAATCAGACTCTGAAGATAGCTTTCTATTCCAAAATTTCTTTTCATCGAAAAAAGAATTAACAATGATTCGAATATTAAACAGAAATTAATTTCCCTGTATAATACTAGTAAATGTTTTATATTAATAGTTTGTCCAAAATATTAGAAAAGATATGTTAGAAGTACAAGACAATGCTCTAATTTACCGCTGAAAGAATAAAATATCGAGTAGTATAATCAGCTGTGATATCTTCTTTTACCAATTTGACATGAAAATGACCATATGATTCTTCTTTGTCTGGCCAATACTTTTTGCATTTCATCTGCAATAAAGGTAAAATGAAAGTTACTACAGTTTACCGTAGTAACTTTCATGAACATTTAAAAGGCTATTAAAACCCTTCTCTGAATTTTGGTAGATACATACTATTTCATTTTCCACGACATTTGTAAGCATAACAATTTTTCCACAATCTTGTTGCCATATCATTCTCCAAAAATCATAAACAGTTTCTGGAGTAAATGGACCTAAAAGAATAAAGTGCAAAATTGAAAAGTTTACATAAATTACAAACTTATTTAAAAAGTTAGAATAATTAAAAGATGAAATCAAAAATACCAAATTGATAAACAAGGCATACCCTGAGCAGCAATATATTCCCTTTCTTTTTCAAAACCCTGAATCAAAATTAGAATTATATTAAGAAAATCAAATATTGGATCGAAATTGGGACCACAAGAATGATATTTATCAAGTATATTTCATAGGTATTACATGTACATTGTAGATTGTAGGATAGCTTAAATATGGTTTTATTCCTGATTAATTTAAAATTAGACTAATCCTAATGGGACTTACACCCTCCTTCATAGTAGAGCACACTCAAACCATGGTATATATACCATGTGTGCATGTTTAATTTGTATATCTCTTGTGATAGGCTAAAATAGGCATTAATGTTGTACTCAAGTATAAGATCCATATAAATTACAGCATTAGACAAAAAAGCTTTTACAATTTATCTTTGCATATAGGTTTTAGTTTGTTTTGATACCACTTGTGATGAGACGGTAACAGGGCTAATAAAATGCAGACCTGAAGAGTTAGTAATCGCACAGAGTACTGAGATCATCTGAGCAAAAACTGGTATAGCATACTACATATGTATGTACCAGTTTTTGTTCAGACTGTCTCAAGATACTGTGGTGAATCGTTAAATATTGGTCAAATATAGAGTCATAAGAATGCATTAAACTACTCGCTCAAAGATTCATCATATCAGCAAATCGGACCAAATGCACCATTTCATTCTTAGTAAACATAGAAGAGACCTTTATGCAGCACAGAGCCTGATCATACAATTAAATGCGCCATCTAGAGTATAACGTATCATTTGCCAGGTTAGTATATAGGTCAGACAATCTTAATTGATACTAAGCTTATCCTTAAGTTTAACTGAAGTTCTGGAGGCACCAAAATTGAAAGTATTGTTTGAAATATACTGTCATATGGCGTAAAGACTGAGCATAATCTTTCGGCTACAAACACACGGACTGAAAGGTAGATGGACGGACGGGCACAGTGATTCCAGATTACTCACTCCACACATTCATTGTGGTGGCATAATTAATCATGATTATTTTGAAGAAAAGTTTCATCATTTTTGTAAAAAGAATGCTATTTAGAAAATACACCAAAAAGTACATTTTTCTTTTAAAGAGAACAAACATACATGCACAAAACAAGCGTTGATAAAATCTGTATTTTCTGTTCCCTTTTCCACTTGTAGAATTACTCGGGTTGAGTCGTCTACAAAAAAAACCCAAATATTAATTAAACGATGTTTGTATAACTTAAATACTGTAAAATTGAGATTTAATTTGATGAGAGAAGTCGACTTACAGGGATACATTTTCTTGTATCTGTTTCGAGACCGGTTTTGTGGTTTCAAAGCCTCTTTGCATGGCTCTAAGAGACCATTTGGTATGCTCTTTACACAAAAAGAGATATTTTTAATATGATGCTTTAAAATCAACAATTATATTTTCTTAATGCTCACTTTTCATCCTCTTACTCAGTAATTTAAAACAACAATTACAAAATAACCTCAAATTCCGTGTGAAGTTCTCCCCTGGATTTTTTTAACTGAACATTTTCCCAAAGTTTATCTACTGGGACAAGAGTTATCTTCACATTATAATAGTCTGATTCAACAGATGTAGGTACATCGACATCATCAACGTCATTAGGATCGAGTTCGATCAGGTATGCTTGAGATCCACGGAGGTTGTATGGTGAGATCTCCGTATACAATGATCGTCTCTGAATTTGTGGACTATCGTTCTGTTCATTTTCTATAATTATATTTTAAATAAATTCCATTGAATAGTGAATACAAATGTTAAAAAAAATCTAATTTTCAGTAGATTAAATAAATATCGACCATTGGCATAGATCCGATCCTCCTCGTTTAAAAACTCAGTCAGTCTCATATCTTTTTCCATAGGAGGCGACAAACTTTTTTGTTTTTCTTGCAAGTTCCTAAAACATGAACAATTCAGCATTATTATTATTTAGTGGAGTGTCAGATAATAGTAACAAATTCAAAATTTGAGAGAGAGAGAGAGAGAGAGAGAGAGAGAGAGAGAGAGAGAGAGAGAATAACCTTCTTAAGACAATCACAAGAATCAAAACAAGCGCGACCAAAAGAGCTCCCCCTATCAACACAAATACGTACAATGGAGCGTCAGGAATATCCTTTGTCTCTGTAATAAATATGAAAACTTATTATATTATAGTTTCAAGTAAATAAGATGAATCTGACTCGTCGAGAAACATTTGTTGAAGAACAATATTACCCTCTGAATGATGAAACCACGCCTCCAGCGTAGCAACAGTCAACACTGCTTGACGATGGGTGATATTCCCAAAAAAAAATATTGACTGCGCAGAATTCAGGCGCGTGCGGTTCAGTGTTATATGTATTTGTATAAAACATTCAATATAATATAATAAATGCTGCACCTATGTTGACAATGATTTTCGAGGGGTGAAAATTTTCAATGTTATCCTCAACTACATGCAGTTTTAATATAATATAAACAGTATTGCAATGTGAATTATTGCAAAAGCAATCTATTCTTGAAGTTGACATTCTCACATGCATTATTCATGCACTACTTACCTTTACTCATTTGACAATTTTCTCCAGTTAAACCTCCTTGACAGCCTTGAAGACATTCGCCATCGATATCACAGACTGATCCAACACATGTCCTACTACAATCCATATCACACTGGTTTCCATAACGTCCTTCCTTACATTTTGTACAATTTCCCAACTTTTGATCACACATTTGACAATCTTCCACAGGACAGGATACATTACAATATTCACCGTAAAATGAACTTTTACATCCATTCATACACTTTCCATTGTATCCACATTTATTATTACAATTAACACTACATTGACATGATCTGCCTGACCACCCCTCCTTACAGGAGGTACAGAAATCTGAAGCATTACAGGTCAGACATTCTGGAGGACAAAGAGACTGACAGGATCTCCCGTAAAATCCAGGTTTGCAGGAGAGACAGGTGTCCCATGAAGTACAGTTATTACAGTTTTGATAACAAGTTGTACAATAAGGACGAAAATAATCAGTATTATAGTAATATCCAAGAGAACACTGGGTACAGTTGTAGTTATCATAACAATGTTCACAGTTTTTTGTGCATTCATTAGAACATCCTACCCCATGCTTTCTGTTATTACACCCGTATGTACAAATCCCATCCATGTTACACAAATGATCAATGCAATTTCTACTACAATCCTTGCACAAATCTCCAGTGAACTTGGGCTTACATTGAGTACATTTCGATTCACTATCACAGGACAAACAATTAGATGAACAACTCTGGCAGTTCTTATACTTGTCTAGATAGTAACCTTCATCACATTTGTTACACAAAACAGTTGAATCAGACGGAATGCATTCTGAACAATACTTTTCAGTACACTTCATGCTGCAATTCAGACCTAACCATCCTTCATTACAGCCACCGATACATTCCCCATCCCTTTGACACATGCCTGATATGCAATTATTGCTGCAAAATTTTGTGCAATTTTCACCATTTCTCCCAGCCATGCATTCATCACACCGACCGTTATTTTTATCGCAAATTTTATTCCCGCCACATGTTTGTGGGCATGGTAATTCACACTGTTGTCCATACAATCCAGCAACACACGATGAACACTGATCACTTTCATTACAAGTGGCACATTTACTACTACAAGGTGTTTTGCATTCTAAACCCATAAATCCGTCATTACATCCACCTGAACATAATCCAGATTCTTTGTTACATTCACCATTCCTACAATGGTCTGGACAAGAGTTTTCGCAATTGGGTCCATAATAACCCTTTAAACATTGCTGGCATCCTTCAACATTGTCACAAAATTCTAGAGCGCAATGTGCACATGTAAAACTACAGTTGTTACCAAAAGTACCGCCAATACACTTTGTACAGCTTGCCCCAGTAAATCCAGGGGAGCAATTCACACATCCTAAATATCTGTCACAAAAGCTTTCACAATTAGTAGGACACTCTTTATCACACATACCTCCATACCTATTATTTTTGCAGCCTTTTATGCAAACTCCTGTGAATCCGTCGCACTGGTTTTCAAGGCAGTTATTACACGTCTTGTCACAGAGATATCCGTATGTACCAAAACTGCATTCTACAAATACACCTTAAAATGTAGGCGAATTTAACAACCAAAAGGCAACTTATTTCTGCATGTAAATATAGACCAGATTATGATACTCTCAGTTTCATACTAAACCTAGTCCATTGAAGGCAAACGAATACTTTCAGTGAATTAAATTTACAGCAGTACTAAAGAGTACTTTTCGTATTAAAACAAAAGGTCTTTCTGATTAATATACTACACTTCAAGCACAAATATTTTATTTTTTTCCAGAAAAAAAAGAAAACCTTCCATTAAATTCAATGTGTGTGTGTGTGTGTGTGTGTGTGTGTGTGTGTGTGTGAGGGAGGGTGAGTGAGGGTGTGTGTGTGTGGGGGGGGGGGGGTTGTGTGTGTGTGAGAGAGAGAGAGAGAGAGAGATGATCGATGTTGCATTGTTTTCAACTTTTAAATTTTAAAGTTCCATAAAATAAGAAATTTATTGACGCTGTCACCAAAGTTTTGCTAAATGTTTTAACTTTTATTCTTATTTTTAATCTGTTTCTGATGAGAAAGATCACGCATTAATAATTTTTATAATTATATCTCTGTCGAATGAAGCCTCTTTCTAAATATGCAATTATACAGTGTATATCCTAGTGTAAGTTTTTCACAAGGTTAGCTTTTTTAAAAAAGCTGAGAGTCAGCCACTGGAATACAGAAACTTTCTTTCTTGTTTTGTGATGGTATATGATTTGTTTTATCCATCATGTTGTGTTCCTTAAAAGTCGTTGTTATCTAAGTTAAAATTCTCCTAATCGTTTTCTTATTTTAACATAATGATGTACATAATAAATAATAAAGCATAGAATAAATTTTAGTTAGACTATAACATGGTGATCATTATGATGACCTCCAATTAATTTCTCTTGGGCGCGGACATCAGAGAAAGTTCGTCTCAGAAAAAGATCGCAATCATTGAACGTTGACGAATGCCGGTATGTATACATTTTCATTTTTACTGTTAATTTCTATAAATGATATAGATTATGATGCTTAAAAGGAAGGTAGACTTTGGATTAGATTGCTTTAATTATTATTAGATAAAAGGTTTTATTCATGCAGGTTCGAGGCAATGTATGATTGGAGAAGGGGGAGGGGTGCATACTGCATTTATATTCAAATCAATTTCTAAATTTAAGCATCCATTTTAGTGACATTAGGAAAGAAAAAGAATTGCTTCCAAAATAAAGTAATAAACTGGAATTCAAAATATTTTTATACATGCAGTGCGTATACCCTAAAATGTAACTGATGAAGTCTACCATCAAAGCAAAACTAGATTAACATACTGGATTTCATCTCGCTTACTCTCTCTAATGGGGGTGGGGGTGTCTATATATCTGCGCAGTTTCTCTCAACTATGGCAGTTCTACTGTGGTCACTTTCTCACCTGTGGGCGCGGTTCACGTGCACAAGCGGCACTTACACGTCTATGACATCATGTAAATTATAAGAATTTACTGTCTTACATGCAGTGGTCTTATGATGTTTTCATAACTTTTTCATCATTAAAGTGAAAAGAGATTCTTGTTCGGATTATTGTGTGAATTCCGACCCGTACATGTCTTATGCAAGGTATTGATCGAGGGAGTCTTGCATCAGGCGTCCAGAGGAATACACACAAATCCGTGAAATTGCAACGGCGATTGAGGGTATATATATATCAATTGTTAAATGTGCTGTACATATAAACTTCTCATCTTCTATAAGAATGAAATATATGGAGATAACGAACAGTATCCAAGCTCAAAAGTCCATTAAACAATACAAAATAGGAGCAGCACTGAAATATTTTCATAGTATCATATTTCCCACTTAGAACAATCTGTGTCTTAATTTTTCGTGGAGAACGACGAAGAACAATGCAGTCTATAAATAGACCGAGGTCGTGTCTTTGTTCAGAAAGTGTGCGTGAAGAATAACGCCGTCTGGTTGGCAAATAGTACGAGTTTCTTTAGAACAAGTCGTGCACATCTTTTTTTCCCAGAATTCCAAATTACGCAAGCGCATTTGCAGTTTCATCCCACCGTAAATAGTCAGCCCGCGGGCTGACTAATGAAGCGTCCCCCCTCCACCCACCCACACTTAAGACACTCTTAAATCACAGTCATTTTCGCACACAGATGGATTAAACACAGATCTCTCCTTCTTCAAATTAAAAAAAAACATTGTTACCGTATAGTACATTAAAATGTTCTCTATTTTTATTATTACGCGTACTTTTATTTGTCCCTTCGGGCAAGAACAAATTCGCCACCTTAAACTAACCTAGCGACAGGTAAAATATATACACTGACAAAATGGCAGATACTCAAGCTGTTGATCCTAATGAAGTAAAGGAAAGTAGAACATAATAAAGTAATTAAAATTGTGTGTTAAGCACAAAAAACAAAGAAATGGGGAATCTATATTTTTTCTGTAGTTGTTGAGTTGGGAGAAGGGAATGTGAAATTAATGGGTACCTGTAAACGTCAAGAAAAAAAGAAACGAAACAAAGCAAAGGAAAAAGAAACTTACGAGAGAAAAATTCCGAAGGTGTATTTAAAATGTATGGTTATTTCTGTTTATATTTGCATCTAATTCTATTGGATCAAGATCAACGGTAAGCATACAAGCCAGTATTCTCTATTGAGAAGTTGATGGCTCGTTTAATACTCCCCCTCAACTTCTCTACGAAAGGCCTAATAAAAGCAGTTCAGAAATTGACTAAATGAAGAACCAAAACCGGGTCCCACTTCGATCGGTGTTTTAGGATTGATGCATTATCATAGACATATTTTGGATGCACAGATGTTGTTTTGCAATGGAAATGCGATTGAAAATACCGATTCTGCTGACTTAAAAAACATTCATCACGGTAGAACACTTACTTGCGATATCTGTGTCACCAGATTCGTTTATTCGTTCAAAACTGCATTTGTACCCGGTTGACCTCTAAGAAAGTCTAAAACTTTTTATCCGGATAAATTGGATTGAATGTTTCAGTGTTAAATAG